AACGACGTAAGGTCTGAGCCGCAAAAAGAAAGTGGGGTTAGTTATCTTGCAACTGCAATCTTCGCGTAATCGTATCATTTTGGTTTGGTTATTCTCCAGTTACAGAAACCACTTTAAGCTACTCGTAGGTTTGGAAATCTGTTAATATACTTTTAAGGCTTCTACTCTTCTCGCTTCAAAGACATCGCAGCCTAAGGAAACCGCCGAAGAAGCAAAGACGGTAAGAGAGCCCACATTCTCACCATTTCACCATTGCTTTGTTCAGCGGTCACTTCGGCATCAAAATGTTGTACAACACAAAGAACACTCGAAACCCCACTCAGAAGAAACTAAGGAGACATAAAATGTTCAAATATTTCTCATCAGAGTTCCTCGTTGTTTAGCGCCTTCACAGAACACATAAATAGCCTATTCAGAAAGTAATGCGGGCTTCGATGCGTCATACTTTATTAAATATTCACCAAGAATTTTCTCCTATTTGCTGTATATTGCATATCCTAAACCCATTTTATTCCTTTTCTTATGATGCTATCTAAATTTGAAAACAACTCACCCTCCTGGTTTTTTCAAAGGTTTCAAGGGAAGACGTCACACCAGTAGTTTGAGCAAATTTATTTCTATGGATTGGAATTTGGTGGATATGCTGTGCAAGCAGCTCAGAACAGTATTGTGGTGTGGAGCCAAGGAGTGCTAACAAATCCATTTTGCACTTTTGCCTGATACTTTTAATGAAGGGAGCTCGAGAATCAGTAATGGCGGTCATGGACGTCATTTTCTTGTTGAGTCTACCTTTTGAGGATCAATAAAAGCAGATCCTGAAATGAGTGCACTACGGCTAGCAGAATAACCTGGAGCAAGCATATCTAAAATTTAGGAGCGCCTGAAGGCCTTAGTAAGTGAGAAAAGTGGATGAATGGGCACCGCAAAAGTCATTCGGGCAGCAGCGGAATCGCCATTCGAAGATTTCTTCGCAGCTCATCTTATCTGATAAAAATGAGCGACTTTTGGAACAGTTTGTCATTCTCGGTTAAAGCGGATCACTTGCAAAAAGTGAGCATTCGCGACATTTGTTTCCGCCATGCCATTTCCTGGATAACTTAATTTATCGTAATCTCTCGCTTTTACAACATGTGTGCAGCATGGAAGAACATGCACCACTGGAAGCAGTAGCCAGGGGCCCAAAGGAAGCGAGATGTGGCCTTTTTGTGGCTAAAGGTGCGCTAGTTGCAGCGCCCTGGGGCTGCCAATCCTTTCTGAGCTCCGCCTCCGCCTGTGCTCCGCCCCCCAGCAGCATCGTTGTTCGATTATCATTTCGTTAAAGGCACGCTCCGCGATTAGGCGCGCTCGCCTGTTCCATCCCGGGGGTAGTAGGCAGGCGGACAAGTGTTGTTGTCGCCCCTTTTGCCGCTTGAAAGTGCGCGACAAAGGCGCAAGGAGCTCGTCCGACCCGCAACTCACACCTTCGTCCGCAAGCCCCACCCTCCGCTGTCGGTTGCCACGTGGCGCTGCTTGAAAAGCGCGGGCGCATTTGAGGCAGCGGTCCCACCGCGATGTGTCATTGGCACTGGAGCAACTAGAGTTAGGTTCGTGAAACTCGTCCAACGCGCCTTTTCTCTATCCCAAGGTGGAATGTGGCTGAAATAGGGGAGGTCTCTGTACGGGGCGTAATCGGTGGTTTCGTTTGCTTTCCTTCTCTTTTATAGACCACCTCCCACCTCTAGTATCATGACTGAACGCTTTTAGACACCTATTTTATCCCGAATCTTGCCTTTAAGGCATTCCGTTCGAACGTGTATCCTATAAGTTTCCCATGGAATGCGTTATCAATCAAGGCATGGTCTCTGCTGGTATGATGGTAGCTATCGGTTTAACATGTGCAAACGACCTCTTAGTTGGTTGCTAGCTCGTCCATTATCGGAGGTCAACGGGCAGAAGGAAAGGTCCCATTTTGCGCGTTTTTGACGGATTTCTTTGCTTTTTTCGCCACTAGGGCATTATTCAGCATCTCCACTTCCACTATGAACCCAACAAAATCCTATCGTAATCTCTCGCTTCAAGATACGTTGGAAAGGACGGCCAAAAATTGCATCTCCAATTTCCAATTTCAAATTTCCAAAGCAAGTTCCGACCGCCATTCTTCTGTTATTGCCAAAGCCAGTAAAGAATTCCCGAGTTTTTCAATGATTATTTCGGTTGAGCCCGTCTGTGTCCTATCTAAAAATATGACTGTCAACTGTTTAAGATTTGTGCTTCTGATCTCGCTGGCATCACGCCATCTAAAAAAATGTTGACCATTTGCAAGTATATAAACTTTGTGAAGCTTAAAAATGGATGGACAGATACTGAATAGGGGACTACATAGTTGGGTCTTATGCGCCCCGTAGGGTACACTAGAAAATACTATTGATCCATATTTTTCACGAACTAGCATATATTTTAGTTTTTTAATAAAAAAAAGTCTCTGAACGAAGACAAGAGGACCAATTTACTTCAATTGAAATTCGTTGTAGGTTGTTGTTGAAGTGGCTGTTTCGAAAGGTCAACATGTAGTGGGAAAGATCAAACCAAGATAAAAGTGGTTGCCAGACAAAATTTACCTCTCTGGCGGTCTAACCGAGTGTTGAAGAAAAAAACTCTCAGGAACTATTTTGTTTGGATATTGAGCCTTCACACGCCCGCCTAGCCACCAGCATACCGTCTTCTGATTATCTGTTATCAGTTTGATGCAACACAGCCTAGCTTCCGCACAATCTCTAAGTCAAATTGTTGCAGAGATCGGTCGGTGAACTGATCACACTGGAAATGAAATCATATGTCGTGATGGTATAGCCAATATTTCATAAAGATGGGAGAAGCTCAAACAAAATGGTGGAGAAGACATTGGTTTGATAACTTGCACTAGTTGTTCACAACACGCATTTATTTGGGCAGAAGAGTTACCAAATTGAGTGAACCTAATTGTTGATGCTTCGATTGCTACCTAAGACCTTAATAAATGATTCCTGGCTCCTTATATTGGAACCTGTTAGCGGTGCGCCGTTGTTGCCTTAATAGTATTTGCCCATCCTGTATATGTTTCATCCGATTACCTTCCCCCTCCCTCGTCCCTGGATTGAACTAATTTGGTCAACAACCCGAATACAATGGTTCTATTTCAGATTGCACCGCGACCTGGGAGTGTTCAGGAGAGGTTGCAGAAACTGAACGGTCGTGTCAGCGCTCCAATAGTAAATATGGCTGTATCAGCCACATCATCTAGTCTTGAGAACAAAGGTTCGCTTCGATTATTTTTTTCAGATTTTTTCATTGTTCAAGGATAAAATTGCATTGCGACTGCGAAGAGATTTGAGGTGATTTTCTTTGTAAAACTAGCAAGAAATTACAAATGAAAAAGATAAGTAATGATTAAAAATGTTTGGTCACCTCAAACCGACTTCGTCGAAAACTGTGCCGGAAGCGAACGAAATTTCGGTGGCTCTAGAACGGCATTCATTAATGAATTTCTCACCAAGCTCTCAGCGGACATCACTTGTTCGCTAGATATTTTAGTTGTTGTTTTGCGTTGGCCTGGAGCACTTATATTGCAGAGTCTCCAAAATCGGAAGAACCGAAAAAAGGAAAGGTGCTGCCAATCACTACAGAAAGCAAAACGGTCACTACTACGTTGACGTCTACCAGTACAAAAACAAGAAAGGCTAACGTCGAGAAAAAAGTAAGTAGTCTTGGAATGTCATCTACAAGCTCATTCGCCATGTCAACTGGATTTCCGTTTCCAAAATCTTACGATGTCCGCGGAAATGGTGTGGTGGCAAGTAGCAGCGTTTTACACGCGCACGTGTCAATTGTGAAATCTCAGATAGAACTCCGCCCTAGCCGAGAGAGCCTTCCATCCGTCCCGGTATGGGTGTCCTGGCACTATATTCGGCTAGAGGGCATAAAAACTGACCCATACGTAGAAGTGGCTCTTGCAATTACACGGGCCAAGTCGCATTCACAAAGAAGCTGCGTGGCGCGTCCCGGTAAAAGGATCACGCCAGATCTTTCATTTCTATCCTTAAGCTTTCCATCGTTCAGGTCAGCACGTTTCTGAGGGAAAGTGCGTGGAGGAAGTCGAACGGACATGTACAGAGCAAGATGAGGTTAGCGTTACCAAGGTACGACTTAAAATGGTATCTGTTATAAATGATGGACAGATACTGAATAGGGAACTGCATAGCTGGGTCTTTATGCGCCCCGTAATAGGCACACTGGAAAATACTACCTATTCATTCACCTACTAGCTTATATTTTGGTTTTTTAATAAAAAAGTCTCCGAACGAAGACAGGAGGACCAATTCACTTCAACTGAAATTCGCATACTTTCCTAGAGTTTAGTAGCTTTTCATGTATACTAGTTGTCATCTGTGACTGTATGTGTACCACTGCTGAGACCCAAGGCGGCGCTGCGTGGGTAAATGAACAACTGATGCTAAACACAGAGTACGAGTCGAGTGTAATTTCCCTCAATTCTATGTTCTTGAACTGTTGTTGACATTTAATTAGCCTGATCGAAGACGCTCTGCTGGAGTAGGCTAAATTATCGACTGATCAGAGGTGTTGTTATTCACTTCCTCATGTGCTTTCACATATCTCCGACACTTCTCTGAGCGTTTCTTTGAGCTTACAGCTGAGCCCCCCCACGCACACACACCACCGTGGCTTAATTGTTTTTAATAGTCTTCTCTAGTCTGGTACTCAGTTGGCAGTGTGAATACTGCGGTATCGACAGTATCTCCTCAACGACCAAATAATTGAACTCAAAGAACTTTCTCATGTTCCAGATGTCCACTTTTTCTTTGATCATGATCTCTCTTCAAATTCCCAAGAAACCAAAATGACATCTGCCCGCTTCATTATATATGATTTCTGCCGCAGTTTTGATCCGTGAAGCGAACCAGGCACATATGCCACAAAATTGTTCTCTGCGCATTACTTGTCACCTGCAGGGCTGAGTTACTGCATAAAATTCGATCATTGTTTTCGAAAAGTAATGTTCCTGAACATCTGTGGCTTTGCTGGCCCCCATTTAAATTTGTTCATGCTCTTCTTCATCACGTTCCACAGCACTTCACTTCTTCTTTCAGAGCATTTCCAACTACTGCGTAGAAGCAGGCCCTCCTCCACAGGCCTTGCTGTCTTCAGAATGTGAATTCATTCGGGAATCTATAATAGTTTGGGGGCCACTACTTGCTTTCTTATCCTTAGTTTAGAGAGCACTCCTTTGGGCTATCGAACACTATGGATAAGATAATAAGTAAACGACTCATTTCGAGCGTACTTTTGATAAGGACCGGTGGATGTCCTACATTCCACACTCCTGCCCACATCCCATCCACTTTTCTGCACAGGTGATCCACCCTGGAGCTCCTCCACCCTTAGCCCTTTGCAGAGGTGTCCATTTCTCCTGGTCCAGGACCGTTCCCTTGGGTCATGGCAGGCGGAAATGTGAAACATCTCAGGGTTTCTCACATTACACCGATACTTATCAGAAGTCTACTTTAAATGAGTCGATTACGTGTCGTGAGCCCTCTAATCCTTATCTTGAGTATTGGAGAAAAATGGAGTCCCCCCCCCCTAAAACTGGGTGTTTCACCGTTCATCTGTCGTCACTGTCAAGCTGAGGGAGGCATTATAATTGCTTAAAGCTGCTAATAATTTCCTGAACCGATTGAAGAGTGAGTATCGTAGAGGAATGATTTTTGATTGTGGCCCCATCCCAGCCATCATTAAGGAAAATCCCTAATGGCCCAGATCCGTCGAGGCCCTCGTTGTCTCGAACCGTGCACCATGTTCCCGTAGGAAAATCTTCTAATGCCGTTGATGTAGAAGGTTTACGAAGTTGTCCGATGGAATGAAACGTGCTCCTCAATAACCAATTGGATGCACTCGGTTTGAATCCGGCAAAGTGTAATTATTGCGTTTTGAGTATGGGAGAAAGTGACTCTTTTTGTGGCCCTTGGAACAGCTTGCATGCGACGTTGTGCATGGTTCGAGCCCAACGTCGTCCTCGACGGATCGCGAACCATTGGCAGGCCATTTGAAGCGCTGGTCTCAAGGGGTCCGCCGCAGTCAGACTGTTTAAGCTTTGAGCTGTGAGCTCACAGATTGAAGTAATCGTGTACTGACTCATGTTGGAGCATTCACGGAAGACCTGCTTGGCTCGACGGCGATTGCAGATGACGTCATATTCTGAAGACGATGAGGGCAGTGAACAGGGGCTTGCATCTGCGCATGAAGGAACATTTCAGGCAATGTTATGCCTATATGTAGACTTCCATGGACCGCGGCACCCTGACAGTACGAGTTGAAGCAAGCTGATATCTTGTATATACAGGGGGCCAAAAAAAAGACATTTTGCCTCCACTTCCAGATGGATTTAAGCACATTTTACTCAACTCAGACCGAACGGTTCCAACTTATTATTAAAGAGTGCATTCCATTCTATAAGAAAATCTTCATAGTGGCCACGTACGTGGACGGCATCAGAAGAATTTGCCCTGGAAACATGGTGCACTGGTCGAGCTCAATGGGGTCTTCGAAGGATCGTGTACCATAACGACCTTACTGGAAAGCTAGTTCCGAGGGGATTTGCACAGTGGTAGCTAATGCCTCTAGAAAACTATCCAACATTAAATCGATTCACGAAATTGCGTAAGAGCTTCAGGCTGAAGCTCTTACGGTAGACCTCCTTGAGCCTGACGACGGTGACAGATGACGTCATATTCTGAAGACGGTGAGGGCAGTGAAGGAGGGCCTGCGTACACTTATAGAGGAACACTTAGGGAATACTCTGCTGAGGAACTCCCGTCAACGACAGCAATCTCTGCGAAGAAAAAAGAGCCGAAGTCCGACATAGGCAAAATGTCTTTTTTTTGGCCCCCCCCTGTATATTAGGTCTTTTCGAAAATTTTGTCGTCTTCAGACTCTGAACTTCAGAGACATGTATCTCGTCTCGTACAAAAGTATTGGCTTTTGAGTGCAGCTCATTGAGTATGCTGCATTCGAAGCTTTGGAAAAGTAATAAAAAATGTTTTGAAACAAACATGATCTAGCTTTTAAAGAGAGCACAGGAAGCTCTTCAAAACAAAATTCGTAGCGGCAGTTTGCTTGAAATTAAAAGAAAATAAAGATTTCAAATATGGAGTGTCAAAAAAACGACAGTCCTGTTGAAGGACCTAATAGACATGACTGTTGTTCACGTTCTTGTATAAGATGCGCCATGAGCAACGCAACTAACTGTTTATGGTTTATTGGGAATCGCCTCAGTATTAGTAAAGATTCAAATAAGAAAACGTTTCTTGATTGTGTCTGAAGTAGCAGTAATATAGTGACATGTGGCGCTCCCGATTTATGTTGCGTTCTCAGAAACGATCCCATTATGAGTTTTTCATTCTTGAAAACGATGAGAGGCGGGCTTGGGTTCAAAGCCTAATCAAGTCACGGTGCGCCGAATATCATAAGACTCCCTCAAAAAGTGTGAACATTTCACTATTTGTAAAGTGCTTCTAGTAGCGTCGTAAAGATCCACAAGGGATCTTATGGCGCTACTAGAAGCACTCTACAAATACCTACTATCTCAGGCACCCAACTATTTGCTCCTTTTCCATGTTTTCGCCAGGAATTTTTTTTATAGTTTTAAAGGCACAACCCAGGCAGAGGTCGTGTGAACGCTTCCCTTCGGTCTGTAGTATAGACCCTAGAGGACAATCACAAATGTGGCGTTCCCGTGCACGGAAACCAACCGACAAGAGCGCTTGGGCCTTGCAAAGTAAGCTGCTGAAGCTGCAGATTTTTTCTCTTATCAGGCTGTTGTCTGGCGCTCTCTCATCTGTAGCGCTCTCTCGCCTCATACTCTCCTCTCCGCGCTTAGTCTCTCATTCCCTTAGCACAGCCGAGGAAGGTGAGTGAGCCCTTAACCTAAGCGTTTTCGACGGATTCTTTTCCTTTTTTCTTTACTGCCGGCCCATTTCGCACCAATACATTCGCATTCGTGTGCAAGAGCCACACCAATGTGATCCTGGGGCATGCCTTTAGGACTGCTGCAATATTATAGGACACCCCTCCGAAATTTCCCTTACTGTTGAGTATTCTGATAAATGTAGCAACGATGGCAGTGCTTAGTCTTTGTACAACTATACTAGGATTATGATTTAAGTTCCTTTTATGCCCTCCGCCGATAATAGCCAGACGTTGTTTTATAGGCACTCGATGGCCCCATTACGAGAATCGCTACCTTTTTTGTGAGCTCAGAGAAAGCCGTAGAAAGGTTTTCTAAAATTGTTTCTAGGAGTTTAGAAATGTAATAACGTCAGATTATTCAACGAGGCTTTCATGAAAGGATTGGCATAGGGTACAAATAATTTTGTTGGTCCCCGTATATTGTTCATCACTTGGGCCAACGCAAGAATATGGGTTAACAACACTGAGGTTGAATTTGATGCTGTGCAGTGCAGGGCGCGGTTCAAATTGTCTGCTTTCCTGATTTCAGAAGAAGCGTTGCGTAATCATATTTAAGCTACACAGTGAAACCGTTTCCTAATAGTTATATGCTTTCTCATGTTTTTTTCGTGAATGAATAAATTTATGCACAGTTAATGATCCATGTTAAAATCTAAAGTAATGATTTTGAGTATAGTTCAGTGAGGGCAGTATTGCGGTGCGGTGTGCTTAAGGGAACGGCTATGAGAATGGTTTTTAAATGAAAGGTCGGGCTCAGGCACGCTAGAGAAGTAATTCCCGTGCCTGGAGGTTGTATGTGGGTAGCTGCACACATTGCAGCAACTTCCACCTTGAAAAACCCGTTAAGGCCCCGGGGCGTTCGGTTTCAATCCAGGGCCGCCTGGTCAATCCAGGACCGCCCACCTCCGGAAGTGGCATAACGTGTGAAATCAGCTAGGTTGATTGCCGTATCAACCGATAGAACGACTGACATCTCCAGAAAACTTGTTTGTACGTGCCTCTTTCCCCAAGCCAGCCTCCTTCACTGCTAGTGGGAAAGAGGGTTTTGTTAACGGCCTTGTCGACGGTTTTTCTCAGTTTTTTCTCCACTGTCGTTCCACTTCGCATCTCTATACTCAGTTTCAATCGCCATAATACCCCCTTATTGAGCCCGACTTTTGCCTTTAATTCGGGCCAAATTTTGAGACGAAGCCTTAGGGTGCTGACCAGGCACGTGGGCCATTATTCCTTGAGCAAAACTATTTTCAGGGCGTTATGCGCTCCACCTTCTCGCGTAAGATAGATCAGGTTCTGTTTTTCAATATTGGAAAGTGGGATATCTTTTCGGTAATAAATTATGATTGGAAATGCATATTGTTTTTGAGAGAATGCTTTTGTTGCTGAACAGGCCAAGGACTGATGAATCCTTTGTTTGGGCTAGTGCAAGAAGTTCTTGCGTCAAGAATTTTTGATGATGGAGAGAAGTAGAACTCGCATTCAAAAGGCACAAGAAATGTGCACTTTCACATTCTGAAACAAGTGTTACTAATATTAGCGGATTTTCTTCAGATCACAATGCGTAAAGCGGAGACGACGGAAAAACCGGGAGCAACAACGTCGGTGAAGAAGAACGTCGTAAAGCAGGATTTGCTTCGATCGACAGCAGAAAAAGAACGAATCGAAGAGCAGAGTAAAGATGCGGCGAAAACTACACGCACAGCACGAAGTGCACTCTCGAAGACCACTGAAAAAGTGACTGTTGAGGAGTCATCTAAGGTGCGATTACAAGTTTCATATATGATTTTCCGACTTTCCTTTTTTCTCTATCCGAAAGTAAATCTTGTATGTGTGTAGTTTCTGGTAAAGTTACATTTGACAAAATTTACTCTAATTTTGTAAGATGCCCAGATTGCTCGCGGAGTTCAAGAGTAAGCTAGTGAGTCGCAATGGAAAATGGCCTTATTGAACCAGAATTGTAACGTCGTGGAGGTGAAAATGGAGCTTGGGGGATTCACAGCCTCTCATCATAATCGTAGTAACTTATAAGAGCCCTCCTCTTGTCTCTTTAATACTGAAGGAGATGCAGTAGATAAACGATTCATTTTAAGTGTACTTCTGGCAGGGCTTGATCTATAAATCCCAGACATCCTGATCATATCCTAAGCGATGTCTGGCTCCTGTTCATCCACACTGGTGCTCCTCCATCCCTTAGGCTTAAGCAAGGATGTCCATTCCCCTGATTCAGGACCATTCCTATAGACTACTACATGCCGGAATGTGAACGCGTCTTATGGCTAGAAACACATGCTTCCACAGTACTCCGGTACTTATCAACGTATACTTTGAATGAGCCGCTTACGTGTGTTCCACTTTCACTCTTGTGAATTTCTCCTGAGAGCAAGTTGTGATCTACATAGTTGCTGTCGGACCAGATCTGTGTGAAACCTCCGCGTTTTCGGAAACCCTCATAACTCCATCCGAAGAATGGGGCTGATTACTAATCTTCCCGTACCTTACCATATATTATGAGTGCGATTTACATCATGCTTACCGCACTGATGGTGTGACACCCATTCCTCACATGTGGTTGAGCTACCTCTACAGGGTGGTCCAAAATTATGAGGACCGCGTGCGCGCGCAGTCATATCCACTTTTTTCCGTATCGCTCCATTTTCATCTCGTTTTCTGTGCACTATGTGAAAGGGTACAATGTCTTCTTCCTAATGAAACCAAATTTCATGAAGTTCTCAAAACTAGTGAAATAACTACTTCACTTCACTTTGAGTCAGTCCTCAAATTGAACTCACTAGGGGCTCTGGCACGTTACATCTAGCAGCAGTCTAACCTATCAGAGAAGCCCTTATGAGCAACAGTTCAACTCTTCAATAAGTTTGGAACCACCACAGATGGAAAATTCGGGGACTCGAAAGTTACAGTTACCACCAGGATAATTATCAGATGCAGAAACTAGGTCTCCCCTTGTCGACTTTCGTACACCCAAAATGAAAAAATTGATGTGAAAACCCAGCCAGACACTCTAAAGACTCCACATCTGTAGTGGATAGAAAGCCACAGTAGTCTACTTGGCTTCTTACAGGACCGAGCACCCAAGAATAAAGCAAAAATTCTCTAAAAAGCGATTTTTCGAGTTCGTTGCTTTCGAAGAATTGTTACAATGGAACCATCCACCTAATAGCTCTAGATTTCTGTATTTCACACCCTGGATGCAAGCGCAAATAAATGCAACACAAAAGTTTGATTCCCTGAAGAAGGCAGAGCAGAAGGCCTGGAAACATTTGGACACGCCTTAGTTGCGTGCCACCGCACGCGCCATCCCCCTTCATCCGAAGGCTCGTGTTAACGGGGCAAGTGGCAGATCTCAATTCTATTAATTACTTTGAGGTAAGAGTTACAAATACTTCCCAGAAGTTGGTTTGTTCCATCAAGCTACTATGCGTTTTTAACGACACAATGTCTTGGTCCTCATAATTTTGGACCACCCTGTAACCATGGCTTTCTCACAGTCGCCAGAAATCTCTCGAGACTCATTCAACAACATCCCATGAACGGCCAGAGAAAAAGTTTCGCTCATTCCAGCGGTGTTGCATGTATCCCTACCAAAACTTTGGTCTTTGATGTATAGTGGTTGAAAAAAGCTTATGCTCTTTGTCATACAAGCTACCATAATTTTTACGTCGCCTCCTTGAAGCTGAGCGATTAGCTAAAATCCACACTCAACCAAATGATTTGTGATTCGTGTTCAGAGGCCTTCGTACGCCGATACTGTATGAATGTCCTAAAACTGAGGCCCAACTGGGAAAAAGGGACACACATCGTAGCTAAATCATTCGTAAACGAAACTATTAATATTTGAAATTATCAAAAATCATTCGGATCATGTCCGATCCATATCATGTGTAGGATCATGAACATTTGCCTTTAAGGCAAGATTCAGGATTAGAATTATGAGGTAATTCCACTCAAATGTGAAAGTAGGGGTGGGAAGTGGACCGCCAGTGGAGAAAAAAGGAAAAAAAAATCGTGAAATACACAGGAAATACGAGCCTTTTGCTCTACGCTGCGAAAAGTTCAAATGGCCGATCCAAATTCTCGTAACTTCAAATTTCAGATAGACGGAAAACCAAGCAAAGTATCGGTTGCTGGAACAAAGGACGTAACTCGGAAGGTAGTGGAGAAATCTGAAGTAAAAGCAGATTCTTCTGGGAAGTCTGTCAAAGAGACTGAATTGACAGCTACTGAGAAGGTCTCCTTTCCCTTTGAGTTCATCTGTCATGAAAATGTCTGCTTTCCCTTTAGGTAAAGACCGCACTTGATGTCGAGAAAAACGCCAAGAAAGGGTCGGTCGAGAAGTCGACAACAACAAAGGTGAGCTCGAAATACGTTGGGAGTATATGATTCACATTTGTGATAAATTCTTTCTGTATAGGTCACGACGAAGACATCTGATCCACCAGCTGATGTTAAGGATAAGATGAAAGCGGGTCCTAAAACTGAAGCCAAATCTGCTGCGTCCAAGACGTCTGAGCCCTCAAGTGAACCTAAGGAAAAAGAAAAATCTGCCCAGCAGGTTACTGCTGGAACAAAGTCTACCACTATCAAGGCCTCCGATACGCCCAACGACGTCAAGGACAAGGCGAAGAGTGGAACGAAAGCAGCTTCGGAGAAACAGCCTGAAGTTGCAAAGTCCGCCAATGCTAAATCAACCCAGGAAAAGGAGGATAAGAAGGTGGGGAGCTTTTTACATTGCGACGTGCATAATTCTTGAATTTCTCTTCTACTCCTCACCAAGAGTGCTCATTAGTTTTCCGGCAGAGTAGCTTAATCAGGACGTTAGACAACATTTAGTTTTGGAAACCTAGGGAGCACCAGAACTTTTTTCCATTCAGAGCCGTTTCCCCAGCAGGGTTTCTGTGCATTAATCCGTGTCCCTACTGCTCCAAATCTCGTGCTGTGAGATATGGGACGAGCAAAAAGAATATTGATGATTAGTCCAAAAAAATGAGAAAAGCAAGACGGAACAAAAAAAGCCGCTCGTGAAGTTATTGCCGTCATGTTGCACAAACTCGTCAATTTTCAATGAAATATGCCGGGAAGTAGAAGATTGACGGTTGAAATTTGAGAATTTCCACATCTCAAATTCGTTTCAATATGAGCATAACAGTAAGAGTGCAATAATAGTAATGGCAACGACCAGTGTAACTATGCCTATTTAGCCTTGCATACTAGAGGCAGATTTTACAATGAAAAGGAAGCCTATTGGAAATTGAAGCTACCCACAGATCGAATTTAGGAGTCACAGCGGTCGATAATGAATTTGTGGATGTCGAGTTTACTAAAAATGAAAAAGAAGCAAAGAAAACCGTCGATGAAGCCTTAACAGGAATTCTCCTTGAAATAAGAAAGGGCGGGGCCAGACGAGTTGTACGAACTTGCCTGCTCCACGGCTCAACTATCCCGCGCGTAATTGAATAAGCCGCTACGCCATAATCTACGTTGGGTGCAGGGTCGGTCCTATCGTTGTTACTTTTTCAAAAATTTTTACGACCCCCCTCCCCCAAGGTGGACTTTGATACGACCCCCTTTTCGACACCTCGACCACCATCATCGTCTCTATAGTATTAATTCTGGTACCACTCAACCCACAAAACTCCGCCCACTTTTTCCTCCAAAATTGCCGTCGAGCGGGGGGGGGGTATATACGCACGCTGAAACGGCGAATTTCTCTCCCATGCGCTCCTTACTCAACCCAGCCTACTACTTGTGAAAACACTTCCACTTCTCACCACAAATTACACATGTAATTTCACGCGACTAAAGCGGATACGACCCCCCTCCTATCAAACTCAACCAGGTACGACCCCCCCCGTTGTTACTAGCAACAACGTAGGGTTGACCATGGATTGGGGGTCATGGGTTGTGCGTGACGCAACTCGTCCAAGTACGAAGACTAGTCGCCAAAAGTTGACTTTGTATGACCCAAGAGTCACTCGCTCCCTGGAGCCGCGACAACGGCACATCTGTGATACTCTGGGCGAATCTATCGCGATCCAGCTGATGACATTCCTTCCGACGGCGACTCTGCCGAGGGTTTGCATTTCAAGACGGTAAGTCGCTGCACGAAAGAAAAACCAAGATAAACGGCCGAGAACCCGACAAGTGGGGCCCCTTCCTTGCCCGTTGATTTCTGCATGATGCGACTCCCATCGCTGCTGCTTTTCTCGACGCTGAGGCTCTCTACTAGAAGGCTAGAGGCTTAGGCAGCGACGGGGGGAGTGGGGGGGGGGCGTACTGCGACTATAGCGCGCCAATAGCCCCGCGGGAAGGCTATGTTAGATCGCCGGGAGCATATCCTTCGATGCGAATTGCGTGTCGGTCCGCACCCTCAGAAGGCCAGCCTTTCCCTTCACTACTT